TGGACGACAGCTTCCTGATCAGGCTCTTGGATGTGTGAGAACTTTGGGAACAGGTGCCGAGTTGGTCAGGGTTGTGGCCAACGCTCATCATCTTCGTATTGTAACATAAGGAGGCGGGCTTTGCCCGATTGCATCGATAGCACGCCTTCTCAGAGAGTGGAGCCGTTTTCGCCAGGGAACGGCGCAAGAGAGGGAGCGTGAGCACTGTCTGGCGGCCTTCTGGGGTGTGCCAGTCAGATCTTCCGATAGAGCAGGATGGGAGCACAGCCTGGTCGGTTTCTACGCGCACTCGATCGGCATGGAGTCAGCTGCGCTGTTCGCTGATCTCAAGACGGCGTACGCGTATGCGTTGCACGTTGCGATGGGTCAGGAGGCGAAGGCAGCCAACTTCGATCCGAGAGTGCTTTGTGCCGCGTGTGCGCTGCACAGTAGGCCCCGTGCGCTCACCTTCCAGGACTGCTGCAGCGGGGTCTGCTCGGTCAGTGGTGCCACGTCGTTGGCGGGACGCAGCTTGGCAGCCACGCTGATGAAGGTTTTGACGCATCGCCTGTTCGAGGGCATTGCTCGGGGCCACCCTGCAGTGATACTTCGTCGCGTTGTCGACGACGTGTCGGCCCCGTGCGTCGAGACAGTGGCGCACGCGGTGGAGCAGCTGGGAGCAGTAGGGAGACGCCTTGCCGATGGACTTTGTCTCTCTCTCTCTCTCTCTCTCCTCCCGGTCCTTGGACGTTCCCAGAGTTTTTTCCTGGGCTTCAGTTGGGCCGTGGCCCCCCGCCTGGGGTCCGAGTGGTGCCACTCGGGTGTTTGCCGAAAGGAGGCGGCGAGAAATCCTGGCACTGATGCAGCCACAGTTGGGTGTCGCAGGATGCCGCTTGCTGGTGGCAGAATTCGCAAAAGGCTTTCGCCGATCCGCGCGGCTTCGCAAGCTGCGGGAAGCTGGTGCCAAAATACGGTGGAGGCGTTTGTTAAGGAATACTCCCAGGAGGCGCCAGACCCTGGAGGATTCATTATCCAATGAGGGCGGCGGCGATATCCATGGCCGATCTGCGATTGGAGTTTCACCGGCTTCCAGAGGCCTCAGGCTGGACGTTTGTGGGGGGCGTCCGTTACGGGTTTGCCTGGGAGGCATCCGCACGGCTTGAGGCTCTTCAAGCGGTGCAGAGCCTCTTCAAGGACAAGACTTCTGTGGGGTGAGGCTCTTGTCGAGCTCCCTCAGATCCCAGCTGGACCTCGATAAGCTCTGCCACGGCAGCGTTGTCTTCATGTGGGCTACGGCCGTCCGGGTGGGGTCTCCCAGTTTACGCAAGCGCGCTCCAGACCTGTTTCGAAGCAGCGCGGGGGCGCCTGCAGGCCTCCAGGACCACTCGGGGGGCCGCGTGTTCACCCGCCCACGCGCTGCTGCTTACCTTGCGTGAGCTCGGGTGGACGAGGGACTCGGCGAGGTTTTTCGTTTCGGGGCGGGGGGGGGTGAGTGGGTGGGTTTTCTCAGGTTCGCCCCCGCCCCAGTGCGCACGCTTGCGGAGCGAGCGGCGCTGGCTATGACGGACGTTGCAGCCTTGGGTAAACACAAGCGAGCAGTTGCGTGGACCCGCCCGAGGGTAAGAAATCGGGCATTTGGACCCAGCATCGCCAGAGGTCTCTGTGGCCCACTGGCCGCAGCAGAAGCAGTGCGATAATGACATAACTTGTGAAAGCTTCTGTTTAGTATGCAAGGGGGGATAGGAACTCTTTGCCTTGAATCAGGTGGAGGCGTGGGGGCAGGAAACCAAGTTGGCGGCGCACGGTACCTTTCCCAGCCCCGTGGACGTCGCCTTTGCCCCACTCCACTATTTCGGATTTTGTGGGTCCACCGACCCGCTTCGGGGCTCCATTCAGGGATCGCATTCAGTGACGGGTCTGCGTTCCACCCTGATTGCGAGTATCCCCATAGGAGGAGGAGGAGGAGGAGGAGGAGGAGGAGGAGGAGGAGGAGTAGGAGGAGGAGGAGGAGAAGCAGCAGGAGGAGGAGGAGGAGGAGGACGATGATGATGATAATGATGATGATGGTGATGATGATGCTGATGCTGCTGATGATGATGATGATGATGATTATGATGATGATGCTGATGATGATGATGATGATGATGATGCTGCTGCTGCTGATGATGATGAAGATGATGAAGATGATGAGGACGAGGAGGAGGAGGAGGAGGAGGAGGAGGAGGAGGAGGAGGAGAACGAGGAGGAGGAGGAGGAGGAGGAGGAGGAGGAGGAGGATGAGAACGAGGAGGAGGAGGACAACTTGATGACCGATGAGTGGGGAAGCGTCCCCGCCTGTGCGCACGGCGCGGTGCCAGCCGCTTTGGCTCCCTTTCAGCAGGCTAGCGACTCCGAGGACTCAGCCGTCTTCTATGTTTTCGACTGCGTGCGGGGACCAGTTTCCCCAGGTGCTGGCTGCCACTCCCTGCCACCCTTGCCACCGTGGTTCGCCACGGCCGCCAACTACGCTCTGGCCCTGCGCGCCCGGCTTCTGCTGCCCGCCCGGCTGCTTATAGTCGAACTCTTCGGCGTCTGAGCGTCCTTCCTTCTGCTCTGCCGTCCCCCTTCCCTCTTTGCTTGCTGGCCAATTCGCTAGTTAGTGCCCCTACCTAGCTTCACGCTGGAGCGGATTTCGCCGCCTCGCCGCTGACGAAAATGCGTGCGGGGACCATCCGAATCCTGTATCGACTGCCAGGGTACGGGAGATTGTGCCCAGTCCCCTGCCTTGGCCCAGGACTCCGGCAGTCCTGGGGCGCATCGGTGGGCTAGGATCGGGCAGCGCTTCGATGATGGACTCGTGGCCCATAAGGCCAAGGGTCATGCCACTTCGGGGGGTGTCGAGGCGGGGCGGACTTCGGAGTCGTAGCGGGCGGGGGGCAGGCTTGCTGACGAGCCTGCGCGCCGAGGAGCCAGGCGCCGCCCCAGATTGCTCGTAGGCGGCGCGTGACCTCTCTCCCCCCCCGCCTGGCGCAGGCGGTGCCCAGGTGTCCCAGGTGTCCACGAGGTGTGCGTTGCTGACAGCACCCTGCAAGAACGCCGAGGAGCTTCCGGGCCAAGCGGGGCCAGGAGCAAGGCGAGGACGCGGGCCGCGCCCGCAGCCCCCCGACGTGCTCACCTCTCTCGGCCGAGGAAGGTTGCACTTTGAGGTCGCTGGTCCGTGCGGTCAGACCCTTGGCCGTCAGGATCCCGTGCTCCGTCTGCTGCTGCAGCTCCTAGGGCACAGCCTCCGTGTGGCCAAGGCTTTCGACGCCCCAGGGGTGACGGCTTTGTCTGGGCCCGGGTGCATGGTTTGCATCGCCTGTGGAAGCTGCGCCTGGCCGGCGGCCCAGAGTTTGTCCAGGCCTTGTGATAAGCGACCCCCATACTGAGCACACCCGTCGGCAGTTGTCTCGTGCTTGGGAGGGTGGCTTCCCGTCTAGTGGGGGCCCGCGCAAATGCTGGAGGCTGGGCCGTTTGCTCGAGCCCACGGCCGCCAGCCTTCTCGCGATGGCCGCCCCCAGAGGTCTCAGTGGCGCGATGTCGCATCCCTATCGACTGTCACTCCAGCCCATATGAGGTCCCAGGTTGTCGAGGGAAGAGGTTCGGAGACGGTTGGGCCTGCACTCTGATCAGCTTGATCTTCGGAGGCCTCCTGGGCGTGTTTTCCTCGGAGCTGATGGAAAGGAGCTCAGAGCCTCATCGCGTGATCAGCCTGCTCGGGCGCTGCTGACAGTGTCGCGCGCCCACTTCGATCTTACTCGGTGTGTGTATATATATATATATATATAACGGGTGGTGATGATGCTGTTGATGATGCTGATGATGATGCTGCTGCTGATGATGATGGTGGTGGAGGTGGTGGTGGTGATGATGCTGATGATGATGCTGATGATGCTGCTGATGATGATGCTAATGATGATGACGATGATGGTGCTGCTGCTGATGGCGCTGCTGATGATGCTGATGATGATGACGATGATGGTGCTGCTGCTGATGGTGATGCTGCTGCTGCTGCTGATGATGATGATGATGATGATGATGATGATGATGATGATGATGTTGTTGATGATGCTGATGATGATGTTGATGATGATGATGCTGATGATGATTATGATGATGATGCTGCTGCTGCTGCTGCTGATGATGAGATGATGATGATGATGATGATGATGATGATGATGATGATGATGATGATGTGATGATGATGATGATTGTGGTGACGATGATGATGATGAGGATGCGGACGAGGATGATAATGAGGATGGAGATGACGATGAGCTGGAGGAGGAGAAGGAGGAGCAGGAGGAGGAGCAGGAGGATGAGGATGAGGAGGACGAGGAGGGAGGAGGAGGAAGGAGAGGAGGAGGAGGAGGAGGAGGAGGAGGAGGAGGAGGAGGAGGAGGAGGGGAGGGGATGGAGGTTGAGGAGTAGGGGGAAGATGAGGAGGAATTTAAGGTTAAGCGCGTTGGAGGCGAGTCTGAACGGCGGCCCCTATACAGCGCGCCGTGGAATTGGTGATTGCTTCTGCGAAGATTTAGATGCGGGCCCTGCCCCCGCAGAGGCCTGCCTGATGCGCCCCCGAGGGCCGAATTCAAGCCTCTCTGAGAGCCCTGCTGTGCGCAGTCCGAGGGGGAGGCCCCCTGGCCTCTTCAGGAGGCGAGGGGCCCCTCAAGCAAGGGGAGAGGGAACGACAAACGACCATTCTCCGACGACGGAAAAGGGGGGGATGGTGCCGCCTGGAAGCTGCAGTGCTCGTGCGCGGGCGGCGGGGGCGGCGGCGGGAGCGGCGCGGCGGCAAGAGGGAGGAGGGGGAGGAACAAAGGAATAGGAGGGAGGGAGGGAGGGAGGGAGGGGAAGGGTGGAGCAGAGGGGGTTGGGAGGAGGGAGGGGCCACATGGGGGAAAGGACCGTCAAGAACACTCTTCGCAGAGGGCCCCGCCCTGCCGCCCCCCCGCCGCGCGCGCGCGCGTTCGCGCGCGCGACTGCCCGCGCCGCCCTCCTCCGAGGACTGATGACCCGCCGCGGCCGCCGCGGCCGCGGCCCGCGTGCTCGGCACCGCGGCTCGGTGGAGCGGCCGGGCGGCGACGGAGAGCGGGGCTGGAAACGGGCCCGCTCCGCTCCGCTCTCCGCGGGCTGCGCGGGGCGGCCGCAAGTTTAGTTCGAGGGGCTGGGGCATGATGGGCAAGTTTTCCACCACCACCACCATCAGTTGGAGGGGGAGGGGGTCGTCGTCGTCCTCCTCCTCCTCCTCCTCTTCCTCCTCCTCCTCCTCTTCCTCCTCCTCCTCCTCCTCCTCCTCCACCGCCACGGCAGCTGCGCACCAGGCCCAGCTTGACTGGGAGGCGGCCTGCAAGAAGCAGCTGCCGGCGCCTCCTCTGGAAGGCGAGGAGGACCAAGCCAAGGCACCCGCTGCTTCGGCCATCAACCTCTCCACCCTCGTCGACGAGGGCGCGCTGCAGATCGTCGATGGGCCGCTCTTCGACATGGAAGGGCTCGAGATCGACAGCAGCGAAAAGGACGAGTGGAACCGCATCAAGGCCGAGCTCGCGGCCAGCGTCCAGGAGAAGGTGCAGCAGGCCCTTGGCCCAGCCGCAGTGCAGATCGTCAAGCTCCGCGAGAAGGCCAAGAAACTGCACTCCAGGCTGCAGTCCAAGCGGCGCCGCGGCCCCGACGGCGAGGCAACCGCAGCCAGCGGTCGCGCGGCCGCGGTGGGCGGCAGCGTGGCTGCCCCCGCTCCTTCTGCTCCTGCTGCGCCAGATGGTGTTGGGGTGGCCGTGCGCGACCTCGGCGGCCCCGAGGCCTTGCGGACGGCTGCTCGAGCCAAGGCTGCCCAGGCCGCTGAGGCCGAGGCCAAGGCCGCTTCCGAGGCCGCCGAGTCCGCAGGCCAGAAGCCTCTTTGACCAGAGGCCTCAGCCGCGGCAGTCCAAGTATCAGGACCCAGTGCGGCGTCGTGCGGTACACCACCGACAGCAACTGGAGCGTAGACTTACGGCCTATATCCAGACGTGGCTGCAAGACCCCACGGTGCTCTACGAGGGCGGCCATGCGGCGCACTTCATGGCGTTGTGCGTTGAGTACGTCGCGGCGTGGTTGGCTCACCCTGCTTATCGTCATTTCATTGGCGACGCGCTCCAGGCGGCAGGCCATGACAATGCAGCGATCGCACAGCTGGACATCGCCAGGGACATTTGCGCGTCCGCTTGGAGGGCGGAGGCGCATGCGCGCCGACTACTACGGCAACCTGCAGCGGCTCCAGCAGACGGACCGCGAGGCGCGGGGGGAGGAGCTCGCACGCCATGGGAGGTCTATGGCCGCGGCCATTGAGATCTTCGGCGAGCGCGGCCCGCTTACACCCAGGAGGGATGCAAAGGTCAACGTCGAGTTCGTTGTCGAACTCCCCTTTTGCGGGAGGCCCTTCCTGCGAGGCGCAGCAGCTGGCGCTGCTGAAACTTGCACTTCGCTGTCCCTACCGCGGTCGGCCAGCCGTAGTTTTCTTCTCGGGCATGGCGACCAGGCCGACCGCGAAGGCCCGCCCTCGGCTACGGCCGTCGAAGAGGGTAAGGGCAGATCTCCTTCCCCTTCGGCATCGCCCAGGAGTTCGGCTACGGCGAGCGCGGCTGCTGGTGCTGTTGCGGCCGTGCCCCCCCCCCCCCCAGCTCGCCCCAGGCCCTCGGCCCAAGCGCGCCCCGGGGGGGGGGGGGGGGCTTCGAGTGGGCAGGGCAGGGGGGCGAGCCGCGGCGCATGCACGGGTGCTGGCCCGTCTTCCTCGACGTCCACCAGCGCTCCAGCTTCCGCGGCCACTCCAATTTCCACGTGGGCTTCGGCTTCCTTGGCCTCGCCAGGGGATCTCTCTTCGAGCCCATCAGGCGTTAGAGCGCAAATCCCGACGCTCCTCTAGTCGGATTCGCAGTCGCAGTTTTGCCGAGGCGTTAGGGCGCAAAGCCCGACATTGACGTTGGGTTCACAGTCGCCGCCGCCGCCTTTCAACGCCAACGCGGAGGAGCGCGGCGTTAGAGCGCAAGGCCAGTCCGCGGCTTCACCAGGTGATCCCTCTTCGAGCCCATCAGGCGTTAGAACGCAAATCCCGATGCTCCTCGAGTCGGGTTCACCGTCGCAGTTTTGCCGAGACAGTAGGGCGCGAATCCCGACATTGACGTGGGGTTCGCAGTCGCCACCACCGCCTTTAAACGCCGACGCGGAGGAGCACGGCGTTAGAGCGCAAGACACGTCCGTGGTCTCACAGTCAGGTTCTAGGTAACGGTGAGCGTCGCCATGCGCTCGACGAGGGCGACCACGACCCCTTTGAAGACCTGGGCCAGGGGCTGCAGGATGCGGAGGACGACGTGGCCGCTCAGCTCCAAGACGATGCCCCAGCTGAGCCTAGTCCACCGAGCAGTAAGGGGGCGGACGAGCCTCCACCGATACCTCCAGCGCTGGTTTGGACTTGGCCAACAAGTCGAGGTGTTGGCACTGGCGGAGACGCGCGTCAGCTCCTTGCAGATGCCGAAGGCCCAGCTGGACGGCCTCAAAGACGGATGGAAGATCGCGGCCGCGCCCGTAGAGGCTTCGGTCAAGTCCGAATCGGGTACTCGAGGTGGCGAGTGGGTGTTGGCCAGAAGGCACTTGGCCACGACGAGCTGGGAGCTTATGAGCAAGCGTGGGCGCCCCTTTCGGGGCTTCTGTCCGCTCACCTTGAACCTTCGCAAAGCCGGCGTGGTCGTCATCGCCGGCTACCCTTTTCCTGGCCACAAGTTGGGCGGTGACAGCGCCCCGAGGGTGAAGGCGCTCACGGCCTTCCTGTTCACCCTGCGTGACCCTTGGCTGGTCGTGGCGGACTGGAACATCAGCCCCGAGGGCCTGCAGCAGTCGGGCATCCTCGGGGTCTGGGGCGGCGAGGTCATCGCTCCCAGCGATGTCGAGCACACCTGCGCTAAATGGGACAGCGCCTCCTTGATCGACAACCTCGTGGTCAAGCGAGGGTTCCACGAGCATGTGCAGGTCCGGGGGTTCACGGAGGTGCTTTGGCGCACACGCATCGGTTTAGACATGCAGGTTCCCGACGCCCACAAAGATTGGTGGCGCCGAGTGGTAACCGCACCGCAGGCTTTACCACGTCGCGACCGCCCCGAGCGCCAGGCCGACCCTAACAGCAAGCGGCAGAAGCAGCTGGAGGAGAGGGGGGTCGTCGTCGGCAGCGGCTGCCCGACGAGTTGCACGAGAGCTTTGATGAGCTCCACCCTCCTCCAGACCTTCCACATGATGAGGCAGTCTCGGCCCACTTTTACGTTCCAGCTGAGACGTGGGACAAGTGCTGGCTTGGGCCCGTCGCGACCGCCCCCAGCGAGCTGGTCGATGAGAGCGTCGCCTTGGCGGTGCCGCGCAGGGCGCCGCCGTCGCGGCGCCCTCGGCCCGTCGCGGCCATTGGGCGGCGACCGTGGAGCAGGCGATCTTGACCACCGAGCAGATCCCCAAGGGCGAGTGGGGCAGGTGCTGTGGGCGAGGCCAGCTGCGCGGGCTAAGGTGGGCGCGACTCAAGGCGTCGCCTGGCCGCGCACGTGCGCGTTCGCCCACGATGGAGTGGTGGTGGGCTATCGAGTCCATCATAGTGCGGTGCCGCTCGCTGGTGCGCAACGGCTCCGACCTTGATCGACAGCCTCGGTGCGTGCTCGCCCTCGACTCCATGGCCGCGAGGGCTCCTGAGAAGCCGCGCGCCATCGTCTTCGGCGGCGAGGCCTGGGCCGAAGAGGTTGACAACTGGATTAATTTCTTGCTGCCCAACGGCGGGGCTGATGTTGACAGTTTGGATGAGATCGGGAGGTCGCCGAGAGGTGGGTCGACCGAGCGCTTGCGCGCTCCATGACGGCCGCGCCCCAGGCGCACGTCAAATGGGCCAAGGACACGTGGGCCCACAAGCCGCGGCACCTCCACCGGCACGTGAAGGATCCAGGGCCCGTGGAGGTCTCGGAGGTGCCGTGCGCAGCCGCGCCAGGAGTCACCTCGGACCCTCAGGTGATCATGGCTCAGAAGGTGCAGCGGTGAAACCCGATATGGACTGATGATAACGCGTCGCGCGACGCTATTCTGGACACGATGGGGCAACTCCACGTTCAGGGCCAGATCGAGGCACTGCCACCGCTCACTATTGATGATTTGGAGCCGTTGTGGTGCGAGCTGCCGGGTTCCAAGGCCAAGGGCGTCGACGTGCTTGGACCTGCAGATCTGCAGAGGTTGCCGCTGGCAGCCAAGCAAGAGGTCGTTGCCATCCTCAGTGCTGCGGAGGACGTTGGCTCGCGGCCGCTGCAGATGCCGCTGGCGCTTTGCGCCGCGCTGCCGAAGCCAGCGGGGGGCGAGCGCATCATTGGTGTCCTCCCGAAGCCCATGGGCTTGCGGTCGCGAGCGCGACCGGGGGCCACGGACCGCTGGGCTGACAGCAGGAAAACTTCTGGGACACCGCGGTGCGCAACTCGTCAGCGCTGCGGGCCGCCCTTCAGCGGGCGGTCATGGACGAGGCTGCCCACGAGCTGGGCTTCGCGGTGGCCGTGTTGCTGCTCGATCTAGAATAGTTATATGGAAACATCTCTCTTTTGAAGCTGTTACAGGTTGTGTTATCCCAAGATCACCCAGCGGTCGTCGCTTGGTTAGAAATCCAGATGATCTTGGCCCCGCGAGTGTTGAAATCTCGGGCCATGGCCGGCGAATTCGCTATCCCGACTCGGTCCTTGGTCGCGGGATCCTCCAAGGGGCCGGGTTTCGCTGGCCAAACTCTTCATGGGGCCCATCGTGGATGAGGCCCGCGGCGTGCTTGCCCTGAATCAAGCCGAGGCCTCGTCCGCCATCTGGACGTTTGCAGATGACACTGTTGCTCGGTCCAAAGGGAGGTGGGCCGACGTTGTTGGCCAGATGTCGGGGCTCGCTGACTCGTTTGCGCGGTCGTTCGCGAATCAGGAGCTCCCGATCTCATCCAAGACCAAGTTAGTGGTCAACGCTCCTGGATTTGGACCCGAGCTTTTGAAGAAGTTTAACAGTCTGGGGATGCCGGTCTCGCTCGTCAGAACTGCGGTGGGTTTGGGGTGCGATGTTGCGGGTGGCTCGCGTCGGTCGCGCGTCGAGCTCAACCAGCGTCTGAGCAAGGGCCGCTCCGGAGGTGCTCGTATCGATAAACTTCGTAAGCGTGCGTCTCTCGCCAAGGCATCCCAAGGCCTGTGGCTGCAAGGGGCCTTGCCGCAATCGGTGCATGGGCACCCGGCGATGGGGCTTCCCCCATCTTCGATCCGTCAGTTAAGGAGGCAAGCGGCCCAAGCAGTGGCTGGGAAGGGCCCATGGCGACGCCTTACCATCGCTCTTGCGATTTGGTTTGGGGGCTTGGATCCTGGAATCAGTTTAAGGACCCAGCTGGTCCGCCCCTGGCTCGACCTGTGGGGGAAGTGCCCCTCCCTTCACCCCCGAGTCGTGAAAGCCTGGCCATTGGTGGCCGCGCGTCTCGGGCACGACCGCAAGTTTCGGTGGCGGAAAGTCCGAGGGCCTATAGGGGCCGTGATCGCCACCCTGAAAGAGGGGGTTGGCGGCCGATTTCTCCCACGGAATGGCGTGGACCTATCGAGCCAGACACTTTTGACATTTGGCAGTTTCCTCACATTGCTGCTGACCGTGCCGTAGGCGATTTCGACATAGCGGAGTTGGTCAGCGATTTTGCAGAGCATCTTAAAGCTCAGCAGTGGCAGCAGGCTGCAAAACATGAGCACGGGGGCGATCTGGTTTCAGGTGCGGACGTGTCGGCCATTCGGCCCCAGCTCCAGCGTCTCCTGAGACGGGAGGAATTCGATCATATTGGCCAGATGGTCACGGTCGCTGCTGGAGGCCAGCGGCCTCATCAGAGGCAGCGCGAGCGGGGTGCGGGGCCCTGGGGGAGACCCTGTTCCATCGGACTTGGGAGTGCCCTTGCAAGAAGGATGATCTCGCCTATGGAGAATCCGAGCATTTGATTTCCCAGGCCCGCGTCGGCCACGAGGCCTACCCGAGTCTCTGGCTGCGCGGGCTCCCGCCTCGCTCCTTCGCGTGCCCTAACTGTCGGGCCGGGGGGGGGGGGGGGCCTGGGGGGGGGGGGGGGGGGCGCGGGGCCGATCTCGATTGCAGAGAGGACGGCCTTCCTCTTGTCTTCGGAGATGGCTCTGGCGGGCAGTCAAGTAGCGATCCTCGTCGCCGAAGAGTGGGCGCGGCCGCGATAACTCCGGCGCCAGCCCCGGGGGACTGGGTGCGGACCCGCGTCTTTGCCGCGGACCTTGGAGGTCGCCGTCAAACGGTGCCCAGAGCCGAGATCCGCGCGTTTGAACTCGCGCTTCGCTGGTTCCCTGGCCCGACGCGTCTTGTCGCGGACAACGCGGCCCTACATCGAGGGTGGCTTTCCAGAAGGCACAAGAATTGCAAAGGCCCCAACTCGGACCTCTGGTTTCGCGTCCGCGCCGCGTTGGCCGAGAGAGGAGAGGGTGAAATCCAAGTCGCGCGGTGCCCGTCGCACGTTGACCCGGAGGGCCCCGCCCTCTCCCCTCAGGAGCGGTTGCATGCCGCGGGCGATCGCCTTGCCGACGCTCTAGCGGGAGATGCGGCCAACTTTTCCTGGACCCTTGGCCTTCAGGGCCAACGGCCCCCCGATGCTGATCTGTGGGATTGCACGGCGGCGCTGGTTAGGCGCCGCGCGGCCAGGGCCATGGTGGACTCCATAAGTGTCGCCCCCTGGTTCGCCGAGCAGCCTCCCGAGGCTCGTCGCGTTGGGCGCCTCGCCGAGGCCTTAGTTCGTAGCGGGCGCTTTTTGGTCAGGGCCGAACGTAAGTGGCTGTGCCCGTTGTGTCACGAAGTCGCACCCGTGCATAAGATTGCTGTTTTTGCAGCAACCCCGAGTCAAGCTGCAAGCCAGGACCTTTCGAGTCTTGCTGATCATGGGGTGTTGCGGGCCAGTGGAGCGGTTGCTGTGGGGGGGAAAGTTTGTCATTTCTCGCGTATTCTGCACTTCTGGCCCAAGTTTGGGCTGCATTTTTGTTTGGCGTGCGGTAAAACTGCCCGGGGGACCCACGTCATTTAGTTGCCGAATGCGAGGCCCGTGCCAAGAAATGTACAGAAAACCTTCAGCGAATTCGAATGGGGCTTTTTCCCAGTCCCGCGGGGCCGTCCAAGACGACCCAGGCCCGTGAGTTGGGCACTCTCAGGCGCGAGGCCGTCCTCCGTGGCCCGCCGCCTGGAGTGTTGATCGATGATCGCTGAGCTCGCTGCCACCCCGTGGATATCAGCGAATTCCAGCGAATTCCTGCTCCTCCTCCTCCTCCTCGTCCTCTTGCTCCTCGTCCTCCTCCTCCTTCCCTCCTCCAACTCATGGTGGTGGTGGTGGTGGAAAACAGGCCCATCAGGAGCAGGCCCAGGGCTCCGACCGTGGGTTTCTTTGCAGTCCTGGCGGCGCTCCGTTCGTTTCGGCCTCCAGGGGCCGTTGTCGGACCTTGGGATTGCAGCACGGCAGACCTCTGGGAGCCGTCGCCGGACCTCGAGACCGCTGGACATTCGTTTCGACCGCGGGACTGCAGAACGGCCCCTTAGGAAAAGGTCCGGAGCTCTGGAGCTCTGGGGGCCGCGGAGTGAAGCATCACACCGTGGGGTGTCCGGGGGAGACGGGATCGAGGACGTCGTGACGTCGTCGGCGTCGGCGTCGCCGTTTCGGAGGTCTGTGGGGGTTCCCGAGGGTTCTTGGTCGCTACGGCTGGACGCAATGGCAAGGAATCCATGTTGAACGGATGTGGGAATCGAGGGGCGCGCCTGCTTTTCGAGGGACGCCGGGTATCCCACCCGCACCGGGCCTGGCTGGGCGGGTCCAGTCGGGACTCTGAGGCTACAAAGCCTCAGCATTGAATCCTGGGTGGATTTCGAAAGTTCTCGGCGGAATAAACGAGCCGCATGTGCTTGAATCCAACTCAAGAGACGGGGGTCAATGCAAACGGGGGTCAGCCAGGGCGCCGGATCTTGCAGGATCCTGAAGGGCCAGGGTCGCATTGACCTGGGTTTGGGTGCAGGATCCTGCAGGATCTTGCAGGATCCTGCAGGGCCAGGGTCGCATTGCCCCAGGTTTGGGTGCAGGAGCCTGCAACATCCTGCAGGATCCTGCAAGGCCCGACTGACCCGGGTCTGGATTGACCTGGGTTAGCAGATCCCTGATCTAAGCCGGTAGGGCGTTTTTCCGCCGACTGGGCCCAGGATCGGCTCGGCCAGGACCGCCGCGGGTGGATCGACGATGCGCGCTGTCGAACCACACCATGCGCAGAAGAGACAGACCACCTTTCGATTGAAACGGCGCGCGCGCACGCACCAAATCGGTGCCGTGGCATCTGGTCTGGAAGAAGTGCAACACGCGGGAGTTCGGGTGGCGAGATGAAGCCTATGTACCAATCCAGAAATATATGGCCAGCTTTGGGGCGAGAGCGCATCTCCAACGAGTGAAGCAATATGTCGATCCAGAAATGTGGTTGGCGCTACAGCGGGATAACCATTCCGATTATTCATGTTTGGGGGGGAGGGCGAAAGGAGATGGTAGAGGAGGGGGGATTAGTCCGGTAGAGGGAAGGGATGGGGGGAAGGGGGGGGCAGGAGTGAGGGGGGAAGGGAGAGGGGGAGCGATGAACGCGAAGAAAGGAGGAGGGAGGGGCAGGGCAGGAGGGCACTGAGGGGAGAGGAGGGGCCGACCGGGTGTGGGGCGGCAGAGAGGGGCAGCGTGGACATCGACTTCAGAAGGGGTCGAACATTTCCGCGTCGGCTGCGTGAGGAGGCGGGGACGGAGTGCCCTTGCCTCCTCAGCCGAAGGATGCACAAAAAGAGGAGAGGCGAGGACGGAGTGGCAGACCTCGGATGTTGCTGGCCGCTTGGGTCTTGCGCCCACGCCCTGCTCGACCTCGACCCCCCGGGCCACGGGCCGCTGCGCGCGTTCTCCCATGGCTGGTCGGCCACCGCCGCTCGACTCCTGCGCTCCAGGCCTCGCAAATGGGGCCGGAGCAGGTGGGGAGATCGCGCCGCTTGGCCGAAGTATCGGCGATGCGTCTTGTTCCTCCGAGTCCATCTGCTTTGGCTCCACTTCGTAGGCCTCCAAACGCCGCATGCCACGCTGGGCGACCTTTTCCTGCCCGCGGCCCCCTCTGGTGGCAAAGTCCAGAGAGGGTGGCCGTCCACCTCGCAAGCAAGTCGAGCACGCCAGCACCGGGTCCGCGGCGCACTTCTCTGCTGGCGGCTGGCGCGAGCGTGCTGTCCGTCCCTGCTCGTCGCTGCCAGAGGTGGCCCTAACCCAGGGGGACCCCATCTTGTCCAGGGACGCCTAGATCAAGGGAGGAAAAACCACCCGGACGCGACAATTGGCGTTTACTGAACTGCCCTTGGCGTTAACTAAACAGCCTGCCCTGTTTGATTCCTTCTTTGGGTGTGTTTACTAAACGACTTCGCGTGTCGGGGTGGTTATTATGGGGGGTGGATTTTTCGACCTCCACTAGATGGCCTCCAGATCACCCCTGATCATCTGCCCGTGGCGGCGGCGCCGGGAGCCGACAGCACGCCCGTGACCCTTCGAGTGGGCTTTGGTACTGGTGTGCCGGTGGTGGCTCCCTCCGTCCTTCCCGCGCGGCCTGCGCCAGGGCGGCCTCAGTGGCGGCGGGCGCGGGCGTGCGACGGCTGTACAGACCACCCTGGGGTTTAGCCGGCCTCGGGGACGATTTTCTTCAGGGGCGGTCCCGGGCAAGGCGGCGGCCGGCGCCAGGTTTCTGAGACAAGCCTCCGCTCGGCCTCCGTTCGCCCCGCGTTCTGTCCTCGCCCGCCTTCGTCCGGGCGGGACGACGACGACGACGACGACGACGACGAGGACGACGAGGACGACGAGGACGACGAGGACGACGAGGACGACGAGGACGACGACGGCGACCGACGACGACGACGGCGATGATTCTGGCGTAGCGGCGGTCGCGGCTTGCTCTGGACCGCCCGCTGGGCGCGCCGTGCCGCGGGGCGCCAGGTGCGATGAGCGCTCTCTGGCCGCGGCGCCGCGCCGTGCGCCCACTGCTCTCCCGTCCCCTCTCGCCGCTCTGGGTTTCCTCGCCGCTCTACCTCCAGGCCGCCCCAAGGTGGCGGGAGCAGCTGGTGCCGAGGGACCACGCCGCATCGCGGATGCATCGGCGATGCATCGTCGACGTCGGGACGGAGAAAGTCGGGCTCCGCATCACGCCGCTCCGGTCGAGACGGACGAAGGAAGATAGGGGGGTACGGTAGGGCAAGGACGGGGGGGGGGGGGACGACTTCTGCTGCGTGCAGCTGGCTTCCGCCCCGCCGCTGGGCGCGCCTTGCCTCGATACGTTGGCCCTCCTGGCGCCGGAGCGTGCCGGGGCACCTAGCTATGTGAGCTGATTCTCTGACCCCCCTCTCGAATTGCTTCCCCCTTCGTCCGACCTGGTCACCGCTCTGTGCTTCCTTCTCGTTCCTTTGCACGGTTCGAGTTCCACTAGCGCGACGCTCTGCGGCTGATGATGTGTTGTTGTTGCTGTTGTTGTTGTTGCTGCTGCTGCTGCTATTGTTGCTGTTGTTGTTGTTGTTGTTGTTGTTGTTGTTGTTGTTGTTGTTGTTGTTGATGTTGTTTTTGTTGTTGTTGTTGTTGTTGTTGTTGCTGCTGCTGCTGTTGTCGTCGTTGTCGTCGTTGTTGTTGTTGTTGTTGTTGTTGTTGTTGTTGTTGTAATTGTTGTAATTGTTGTTGTTGTTGTTGTTGTTGTTGTTGTTGTTGTTGTTGTTGTTGTTGTTGTTGTTGTTGTTGTTGTTGATTATTGTCTTATTTTTCGGCTCCGCTAGGTGCTTTCTGCCATTCACATCACTGTCACCGCTACAACTCTGGGCGCGTCGCCGCGCCATATCTCTTGCGATCTAGACCAGGGGTAAGGCACCTCTGCGCTGGACCTCCCAGGAGCTCACGAATGTGGCGCCAGTTGCGCAGATCGCAGCCCCCCCAGAGACGACGAGGTCTAGTCTTAGTGTACGTGGGACATCACTGCGCTGGCCCTCCCATGAGCCCTCGGAAGTGGCGCCAGTTGCGCAGATCGCAGGGACGGCGAGGTCTCATCTGGGTGTGCGTAGGACATCACCGCGCTGGCCATCTGGGGAGCCCACGAAACTGGCGCCAGTTGCGCTGATCGCAGCCCCCAGGGACGGCAAGGTCTAGCCTTGGTGTGCGGCCTAACGCTGCGTATGACACCACTGTGCTGGCCCTCCCCAAGAGCCCACGAAAGTGGCTACAGGTGCGCTGATCGCAGCCCTTCAAAAACTGCAACAATTGCGCAGCTCGCAGCCCTTCAGGGACAGCGAGGTCTGGCCTGGGTGTGCGTAGGACACCACTGCGCTGGCCCTCTCAGGAGCCCACAAAAACGGCGCCAGTTGCGCAGCTCGCAGCCCTTCAGGGACGGCCAGGTCTAGCCTGGGTGTGCGTAGGACACTACTGCACTGGCCCTCCCAGAAGCTCACGAAAGTGGTGACAGTTGCGCAGATCGCAGCCCTCCCAGGGACGGCGAGGTCTAGTCTGGGTGTGCGTAGGACATCACTGCGCTGGCCCTCCCATGAGCCCTCGGAAGTGGCGCCAGTTGCGCAGATCGCAGCCTCCCCCAGTGACGGCGAGGTCTAGTCTGGGTGTGCGTAGGACACCACTGCGCTGGCCCTCCCAGGAGCCCTCGAAAATGGCGCCAGTTGCGCAGATCGCAGCACCCCAAGTACGGCAAGGTCTAGTCTTGGTGTGCGTTGCGCTGCACGAAAGTGGCTACAGTTGCGCTTATCGCAGCCCCCAGGGGACGGCGAGGTCTAGTCTGGGTGTGCGTAGGACACCACCTTCTTGGTCCTCCCAGGAGCCCTCGAAAGTGGCGCCAGTTGCGCAGATCGCAGCACCCTAGGGACGGCAAGGTCTAGTCTTGGTGTGCGTAACGCTGCGCATGTCGCCACTGCGCTGGCCCTCCGTGGAGCCAGTTGCGCAGATCGCAGGCCCCCCAGCTCAGGCAAGGTCTAGTCTTGGCGTGCGTCGGACCACTGCGCTGGCCCTCATAGTAGCTCACGAAAGTGGCGCCAGTTGCGCAGATCGTAGCCCCCCAGGGGCGGCGCGGTCTAGCCTGGGTGTGCGTAAGACGCCACGGCGCTGGCCCCCCCAGGAGCGCACGAAACTGGCGCCAGTTGCGCAGCTCGCAGACCCCAGTGGACGGCGAGGTTGAGTTTGGGTGCGCGTAGGATACCACTGCGATGGCTCTCTCAGGGGCTCTCGAAAGTGGCGCCAGTTGCGCTGATCGCAGACCCCCAGAGCTGGCGAGGTCTAGTCTGGGTTTGCGTATAACACCACTGCGCTGGCCCTCCCAGAAGCTCACGAACGTGGTGACAGTTTCGCAGTTTGCAGCCCAACTAAGGGTGATGATGATGCTGATGCTGCTGCTGCTGCTGCTGCTGATGATGATGATGATGATGATGATGATGATGATGATGATGATGATGATGATGATGATGCTGATGATGCTGATGCTGATGATGATGATGATGATGATGATGATGATGATGATGATGATGATGATGATGATGATGATGATGATGATGATGATGATGATGATGATGATGATGATGATGATGATGCTGATGCTGATGATGATGTGATGCTGATGCTGATGATGATGATGATGATGATGATGATGATGATGATGATGCTGATGATGATGATGATGATGATGATGATGATGATGATGATGATGATGATGAGGATGAGGATGAGGATGAGGATGAGGATGAGGATGAGGATGAGGATGATGTGGGATGAGGATGAGGATGAGGATGAGGAGGAGAAGGAGGAGGAGGAGGAGGAGAGGAGGAGGAGGAGGAGGAGGAGGAGGAGGAGGAGGAGGAGGAGGAGGCGGAGGCGGAGGCGGAGGCGGAGGCGGAGGCGGAGGCGGAGGGGGCAGTGGAGGAGGAGGAGGAGGAGAGGAGGAGGAGGAGGAGGAGGAGGAGGAGGAGGAGGAGGAGGAGGAGGAGGAGGAGGAGGAGGAACAGGCAAGCCTGCTGCAACAATGATGGCGTCGCTGCGGCGGCCATGGTGCGGACGAAGGGGAACCGGTACCCCCCCAGCGGTGGTGATCTCGCCCCGCTGGTTTTCGTGACGCTCGGGCGTCCGTCTGACGAGGCTGCGGAGTTCATCCGGGCGTACGGCCACTACGTCGACGAGGTGGACCGTGGCGAGGTGCTTGGCGGCCTCTGGAAACAGGTGTCGCGTCAGCTCCAGCGCGGCAGCGCGGAAATGGTGCTCAGAGCCATCGGACAGTGAGCCCACTGAAGCGCCAGTTCGGCGCCGCCGCTGCAGCACCACCCGCGGCAGCACCAGCGCCAGCAGCAGCGCGCTGACCACGACGCCGACGACGGCGCTTGCTGCTGTTTCCCGCCCCCCGCGCTCCGCCGTCCCCACCTCCGCATCCCCCCCGCTGACGACCGCAACGACGACGACGACGCCGGCGGTCGCCGCCTCCTCGGCCCGTCGGCCCACCCAGCTCGGCCTCCACAGCGGCAACCCCGCCCGACAGCGCGGCCACGCTCGGCCACCTCGGCCCCCACGTTTGCCACAGTGCCTGCCTGCGTGGCTTCCCCGACGGACCCTGCCATCCGCCCTCCGCCCCTCGCTCCTTTTTCCTCCCTTGCCCCTGCCGGGCCGCGAGCATTGTAATTCGCAGCTGGAAGACCCATTCAGAGGCGGAACGCCATAGGCCCCTTCTTCCTGAAGCTCTGGGAACCTTTTTTGGTAGGAACCCAGGGCGAAGGATCGCGCGAGCAGTGTTCTAGCCAACGCGAGAACTCAACCCTGGGAGTAATGGGAACACGTATGTAGGTGTCCACGAACGTGTACACTCACGTGTTCTACGCACGCGTCATCACGGTCGTACATGCACATGTATAGACACGAAAAGGTACACCCATCTCAGTGTTCCACACGTTTTTGAAACCCTCGTTATCGCTGCCGCTGCCGTCCATTCCATGGCCCGTCGTTCAAGTCTTTTTCCAGGGTATGAAGGAGGCCCTCCGCCCTTTTGTCGAGGCTGGGGCGTCGGGCGTCCGCGAGATAGCCCGAGCAGGCTTCCACGCTGGGGCCTCGTGGGCGCTGCTGCCGAGCTGCCCCATCTCGCCTGCGCGCCCCGCCTGCCCTCCCTGCCCCGCGTGCTACTGCACCTGCGGGGAGGGCTACAGCGATCGGGGCCGCCTGGAGGGGGCGGCGGCCGAGGGGGACCGCCTTGGGTGGTCGGCGCGTCCGACGCACAGTGCGACGCGCTCGTGGGGGCGATGCGGGGGGTCGCCGAGGGCTGCGTCGGCGCATCGTCGTCGTGGCTGATCCCAGGCAGCAGGGTGGTGGTCCGCTACGCCGAGGACGACCTCTGGCACGAGCGGATCCTGCTCTACCCAGCGGCATGTGAGGCCGCCGCGCGCGGCGGCCGCGGGGCTTGCTGGGTGCTGTTCAGTCCTTACCTGGACATGTACATCGAGGAGCTCGAGAGCGGCTCGCCGGAGGACAGCCCAGTGGAGTGGCTCGAGGCGCTTCGGGATCTGCGGGTTCCGGGAGGCCTGGGGCGCGCCTGCCGCTCCGAGGCGTCGCCGAGTGACGTCGAGCTGCGAGGCCTGTTCCGCAAGGCCTACGCGGCGGTGCTGGCCGACGCGGAATCGCGAGGGATGGTGCTCGACCCGCTTCTGATGATCAGGAACTCCTTCGGCCGGGGCGTCTCGGTGGAGGAGGCGTTTGGGGCCAACATCTTCGGCGGGCGCCGCCTGGCGGGCAAGAGACAGCCCGCCGGCGCTGGCGCGGGCGCCGAGGGAGGAGGAGGCGAGCCGTTGACCGACTTCGGCGGGGCCGCCGAGGGCGCTGTCGCGGGCGCCGCAGTCGGAGGCGCGGCGGCCCCGCGCTCGAGCGGGATGGTCTGGCGCGCGGCGGAGTCGGATGAGCGCATTCGGATCGCGGCTGGCGACGAGCTCGGCCCCCCCGCGCACGAGCTGTGTGGCAGGGGCCTGTTCCATGCAGGGCCAGGTCGCGCGGTCGCGGCGCACTTGGCGGGCCTGGGCGAGGAGGCTCTCGTGGCGAGCCTGCGCGGCGGAGATCCTGCTGGCTCCGCTTCTGGAGCCGCGGGTTCAAGCGGGGGCGCCAGGACTCTCGCCGTGAAGACCTGGACTCGGGGCCGCGGGCGCGAGTGGCGCGAGGTGGTGGACGCCTGCGGGGAGGAGCCCCTCGGCGACTTCCCAGTGGCGGACCCTCGGTCGGCGCGGCGGTGCCTCGACTTCCCGCGGCGCCGACGCGCGCCGACCGACCGCCACTTCATGTTCAAGGCGACGGCGAGGCTGCAGTCAGAGTAGCGGGGCGTCCAGGAGCATGAGCGGCTCATGAAGTACATCGAGTTGGCCGGCGCCTGTGACCAGCTCGACCAGAGCAACTGCGCGTTCGCCGAGGCCATCTTCCGCCGAGCCCAGACGATCGAGTGGTGCTACCGCGACAGGCTGCGCGGGGCGGACTCGGCCAGCTCGAAGGACAGAGGCTGGGCCCGGAGGAGTTCTCGGCGTCCAGCGGCTTCAGCAAGGCGGGCGACCTGCCGATGGCGGCGCCTGCGCTCCTCGAGTTCGTCAAGGGCCAGGGCGAGAAGGACTCAGCGATCATGGGGAACGTCGGGGCGGCGCGGGAGGAACGCGAGCTCCGTCGCAAGGGTCCCAGGGGTGAGGGCGGCGGAGCGAAGTCATGACGATGCGTCGGGGTGGAGGTATTCGCGTGGCCGCCTCCTCCCCGAACCTCGAGGCCGCTGGGCCTGCGGGCTCTCCTGCGTGTGCACCTGGGCGAATTCGAGGCGATGGCGTTCCTGGCCGTCGCGATTTTTTCCTGTGCCGATGCTGCGGGACTGCCGGGCCCCGTCCGACGGCGTGGTCTCTCGCTCGGCGAGGCGGCGGCTGCTTCGGCGCGATGCTGCGGTTTCCGAGGCGAGCCGCGTCATTGGGTCCCTCAATGACTTGGCCGGGAGGCCCAGGGTGCCCGGCGCCCCTGGCCTGGCGGAGCGGCTTCCCCATCGCCCGGCTCGCGAACGCGTTCGACGTGCTGCCGCTGCGATGGGCCCCCCGCCCCCTGGCCTGACTCCCGCAGGAGCCCTTCGTGAGCTCCGCGGCACTGGCGTGCGCGAGGATATCGACTCGCTGGTCGTTGGCTTCGACGATTCCCTCGTCTCGTTGCCCGAGGCTGGCAGAGTGCCAGTGCCCTTCGGGCAGCTGCTCCAGGGCGTGGGCGATTGCGATGTCGAGGCGACTATGCATGAGCAGATCCTTCCAAACGAGGAGGCGAAATCCAAGCTACTTGAGGCCCCGCAACAGCCTTACATGGGGGAGTCCGCGCGCCTATGTCGGCCTGGCAAAGCGCCCAGCATGGTGTCATTCAGCGCGACCCCGCGTGAGAGATGTGGGCTTTTCTTCGTGCGTAAGAAGTCTGGGAAGCAGCGCGTGGTGATCGACTGCCGCCGGGCCAACTGCTGGTTCCGGCGGCCCGCCGCCGTCGCGCTGGCGACAGGCTCGGCACTGGGGGGGCTGGCCGTGCCGGACGGGGAGCAGCTGTGCGCGGGGCACGTGGCGACGCCTTCTACCACTTCGGCTTGCCCGAGACATTCCGCGACTTTTTCGCTTTGCCGTCGGTGAAGGCCGGCGACGTGGGGCTCGTGGGCCTGGGCGCCAGCAGTTGGGGCGGGGGACTCGCGTTTGGCCGGTCCTGGCGGTGCTCCCCATGGGGTGCTCGCACGCTCTGTATTGGCGCCAGACCATCCACAGGGGCAGCTGAGCGAGGTGCCGTTTATTTCGGGCAAGAGTGTGGTGCTCCCAGTGCACCCGCTTGCTATGATTTTTAATGTTGATAATTTCCGGGCCTTTGGCGCCAATCCCGAGGCCGTTGCCCGCGCTGTCAGTCTAGTCAACGCTGCCTTGACGTCCAGGGGGCCCCCCACCCATGAGGTGTGCGCATGTGATCACGAAGCTGAAATCTGGGGCTGGGAGATCTGAGGCCGTGAAAGGGATATCAGACCAATGAGATTAACGCTGTGGCGACTTCGGATGGCTCTCGATTGCTCGGCGAAGAGGAGGGTCGTCAACCCTAAAGACGTCGAAACAGTGCAGGGGCATTGCACTGTCGTTAGTCTTCTATGCAGTGAACACCACCATGCCATGTTCAATTCTGTGTGTACTTTTGTCCGACGGCTACGCCACTGCACCGCGGCCCCCCCCGTGGGATTTCGCCCGTTGGGAGCTGGGCTTGCTCTCGAGCTTGCTGAGTATGATCTCTGGGGGCTTGCGGGTGTCCTGGAGCTCTATGGTGATGTGCACTGACGCGCCCTTCCGGGGCTTCGGGTTGGTCTGCGAGGACTTCGATGAGAAACTCGTGGGTTCGGTGGGGGTCTTCTCGGAGCGGTGGCGATTCTTGGGCGACGTGCAGATGCCGTCAAGGGCTTGGGCAGGTATCGCTACTGGGCCGCCAGCAAGGGCGTCTTGGGGGCGCCGGAAGGGAACGCGAGGGCCCCTCTCGAGAACTCCGAGGACTTCCAGCGCATCGTCGACGCGGAGGAGGCCAACCTCGAGGCCCGGCAATTGGCCGCGGGTCGTCTGCCCCCATCTGTCCGCGAACCTGGTTGGGCTGTCGCGGGTTCTCACAAGTGGGGAGCTCCGCCGGGCCACGTCGTGGAGGGGGAGGCCCGTGCGATCGCGTTCGGGGTCGAACATATCTGCAAGGGCCACCAAGGCCTTTGGGCAACGCCACTTGCTTCTATCCGATTATCTGTCGTCTGTGTTGGCTCTTGGCAAGGGCCGATCCTCGGTCCCAGGAGTCTGTGGCGCTCTTCGCGCCGCGGCGGCGCACGTTGCCGCGGCTGGCCTGCGGCCCGGGGCCCGCTGGCTCCCCAGCGAGTGGAACTTCGCGGGCGGTCCGTCGCGAGGGCTGCGGCAGGCTGGATACGCCTGGGGCGGCGGCGTCGGCGATGGCGCGACTGCTGCGCCCGCCCCAGGCCAGGGTGGCGGCCGCGGCGCCGCGGTCGCGGGGGCTCCCGAGCGGCGCGGCGACTTCGACACCGGCGCTGAAGCGGCTGTTTGGCGCCTCCCAGGTTGGCTCTCCGCCGCGCTTGGAGCCGAGCAGTTCAACGTCCGCACAAGGGGTCAACAGGCGGAAGCTGGCGCGGCGCAGTGCCGCGGTTGCCCAGGCGGGCACGCTGGACGTGCTCCGCCTGAGCACGGTCCGTACGCAGACCGTGAGGAGCCGCTATCAGCAGCTGACCGACGAGCTCGACGTGTGGAAGGCAGAGCAGGGGCTGGCGCCGCGGCCGAGGTTCTCGATCCACGACCGCGAGGTGACGGCTCTGTCGGAGACCGATGCGGCGGCGCTCGACCTCAGCCTCACCGAATGGATGCTGGGGCAGTACCTGGAAGGCGTCGACCACATGCGCGGGGTGCAGATGCTGGCCTCCCTGCAGTGGAGCGACCTGCGGTTCGGCCGCGACGGGTCCGCTCGGCTGCCTGCGGCGCGGCAGTCACTCCGCGGTGGAAGGTGCTGACGCCGCCGCTGACGCGGCTGCCGTTGCCCGAAGAGCTCGTGGCCGCGTTGGCGTGCGAGCTTGTCGGCCAGGGGCAGTGGGAAGCGGCGGCCTGCGTGGTGCTGCCGATGGTGTTCTACATGCGGCCAGGCGAGTGGTCCCGCGGGCTGGTCAGGCGCGCCGCGCCGCCGAGGGGCGCCGGCAGCCTGGCGCTTCGCCGCTGGGCGCTGGTACTCCAGCCGCGGGATGGCGAGGGGGCCGAGCCCAGCAAGTCAGCGGAGTTCGACGAAAGCCTCGTGCTCGACCTGGCGTGCGACCGGCGGTTGGCAGGGTTGCTGAGGCGTCTGGCGGCAGGGGGGGTCCCAACGCGAGCCTGTTCAACGTCTCGGTTGGCGAGTTCGCCGTGCTGTTCAGGGGCGTTGCGCGACGGCTGAGGCTCGTCCCCGAGCCGATGCCGCATCTGCTGCGTCGCTCCAGCGCCAGCCGGGACTTCGTTAACCAGCTGCGGCCTCTGTCGGAGGTCAAGCGCAGAGGCTAGTGGAATACCGACGCGTCGGTCAGGCGCAACGAGAAGGGAGGAAGTTTGAGCGAGCAGTTCAGCAGACTGCCGCCCGACTTGCAGAAGCACGCGCCCAGGTGTCACAGCGCGCTCCCCGAGGTTCTTGGGGGGGCGCGCTGCCCCGCCGTTCCGGGCGCGCTCGCAGTTAGTGTGTTTTTGTAGATTTTTGCAGGCTCGGGACGCCGCAGCAGGGCAGTGGCTCGCCGAGGATGCCGCGTGCTTGCCCGGGATCTGAAGCATGGGCCAGAATGCGATCTTCGGGGGCCAGCAAACGACAGCTCATCCGGGGCTGGATTCAGTCGAGCCTGATCCTTGGCTCGCATCCTGGCACGCCGTGCGGCAGTTGGTCGCTTGCGCGAGATATCTAGCCAGGCCCCCCTCGCCTCCGCTCGGACGCGCGGGTGCTCGGTCTGCCTGATCTCCTCGCCTCCGCTCAGGCTGCCGTGGATTTCGGCAATATGATGGTGCGTTTCTCAGTTTCGATCTTAGATGTGTCACTACGCATGGAGCTCCCCTGCGCAATGGAGAACCCCAGCACGTATAGGATTTGGCTCGCTCCTCCTGTCGCCGCTCTCGTCAGATCTGCAGCGTGGATTTTTATCACCGCGGATTTTCGTCAGTGGGGAACCCCTTGGAGAAAAAGAACTTCGTTCCTTGGGTCCCGCATTGAATCACACATGGTAGCCAAACTCTGCAAGCGTTCGCTCGGTTGTTGTAGCAGATCGGGAAGACCTCGTCAAGTGCTCGAGGGTCGGGCGCTCGATGGGCGTTTCTGGACGGCTGTCGCAGAAACCAATCCTGCCGCGCTCTGCCGCTTACTCGCCAGAGCTTTGGATGATGCTATAGTCTGCCGCGAAGTTTCAGCGATGAATGTCGGTTAATATCTTGTTAATGTCATGCCAGTGTCGGTTAATGTTTTGACGGCCTGACGGCCATTCGGCACGTTGTGTGGATACGGTCATATTCGGTGAGAATTGTCTGAATCGCGATTCTTTTTCGAGATACTCGCTCTCAGTGCTGGCGGCGATTGTTCTCTCGAGAGAAACATAGGCGCCTCGGGCATGGCAGGACCAGACAGCGGGGGATGCAGTTCAGTGTCCCG